GATTGGCCCGTGCGATCCGCTGGGAGACGACGAAAGTGGCTCGGAAGCACCGGAGCAGCCGCGCCCACGTGCACCACAGTTCGGCGCATATCAGAAGCAAGTCGAACATTTGTCATTATCGGCAAAAGATGAAGATTGCCTTACAGCGGAAGAGGTCAGGGAGATTCAATATGCCAAGCAGATGTTGACTACTTTGGGCGAGGGGGTTTCACGCCTTCTGACCGAAAAACGGGAAACGAAACAAACGATCGACAGGTTAACTGCCGAACTGGAAGGTACGCCACAACCCAAGACTTTGGAACTACAACTCGAAGTGGGACGTACGGAAGATTATATCAAACGTTTGAAAGGCACCCTACAACGTCTGGAAGCGGAACTTGGCGAAAAATACCCGAGACTCACCGCTTGTGGTTGGAGCCAGAGGCAAGAAGCAAGTGCTCTGCTGCTGAGAGCAACTAGTGTTCGTAGAAGGGGATTAACTTTAGGTGCAGCACGTGCGCTGGCTGCACGGAGGGTTGTCGTGGCGGCAGGCGTGCCACATCATGAAGATTGTCCGCCTGAGCATATCCCGCGGGTGAAACGACATATTGAAGAGACACTCGCTGGAGCAATGCTTGCCTCTGTCGCTATCCAAACACAGGGAGTCCCATCAAGAGAATCTATAGACAGAGCGAAAACATCTCTCGAAGAGATGCTCTGTGTGGAGACTGCGGTGCCTTACCTCGGGTTGCAAGATAATCTCCCACGCGTACAACAGGAACGGAAGAAGCTGGAAGATGCTCTGGATAGAGCATTAAGTGTAACATCATCGGAATCCACGGGGAGACAAACTCCTACATATCCGGGAAGAAGCCGTTCATCTTCGCTGCGGCGTCCATCGACACCCCTATCTTCCCATATCCCTTGGCCTCATCATGAGCCTGGTCACTTTGGCCATGAACGTAGACCTAGCCGTGCCAGCTTCGGACCTTCTGAGGATGGCAGGGGCACCCTCCCTCTTCCTGGCGTTCCCCGTTCCCCAGCTCCTCGCTTGCCTGAGCGGTCGGCGAGTTTGCCTCGTGCATTTCCAGGCTGGCAGCCGCATCTAAGCATGATGCAACAACTGCGTGGGAGCTCCCGTCCACCTTCAAGAGGGGCGACTTTGCCTCGCCAACTTCCGGGGCAGCAGGGAGATTGGCCAGTGCCCGGGAGCGCTCGCCCAATGGGTCGGTCACAGACCTTGCCTCCTCAGCGTCCGGGGCAGCAGCAGCCTCAGGGTATAACACAGCCGATACCCCGGAGCTCTCACCCAACGGATGGGTCACATAGTTTGCCGCGGACACTTCCAGGGCAGCAGCAACCTCAGATAGATATGCAACAACTGTCCGAAGGCTCTCGTCCAACCGAAAGGGCGGCAACTTTGCCTACGCAACATCCAGGGCAGCAGCAACATCGGAGCTCAATGTTGCCAGTGCTGGGAGGCCCTCACACACCCCGCCCAACACCAGTCAAACCCCCGCGCAAGTCGAAGAAAGGGCCTCAGGCAGATACCCCCCAAGCTGTTTCTCCACCGCAGGAACCGCAAACACACCCAGCGGCTGCTCCTACAGGCATCCAAACGCCTTCAGCTGGTGACACTTCATCTTTACCTGCAACACTCCCGGCAACGAGCGATGGACATCCTGCTGGTGAGACTCGACCGGTAAAAACGGCCAAGGAAGACGCTTCTGGTGAAGGCTCCC